TATTTTGAATTCGTTGAGTTTGTCAGTATGTCGAAGGAAGGCTGTATTGAACCATTGTAATGCTGTTTTCCCAGTTGTCTAGTGCTTCTTTGGCTTCAGTTTAATCTTGGGAGTCACAATCAGATGATGATCTAGAGCTGTTAGCCTGTGGTTCTCACATCTTCCATGGATCTTTCGAGTTCTTCATTGATGCAATTATTATCAACCTGATTCTCTGTAATGTGGTCCAGTAAAATTCATGCTGCCTTGTGTATACATGTGTAGGGGTAAATAGTGCCACTTATAATCATGTTGTTGAAAACAAATCCCTCACCATTCTCGTTCCTTCCCCACAGTCCATGTTGTTCCATGATATCTTCTTACCCAGTGTTGTCCATCCCGACTAAGGAATCTAAGTCTCCCATCAAGATGGTCTGGTCCTATTCTGAGCACTTTTGTAGGATGAACTGCAGCTCCATAAAACTAACATTTATTATTTGGGATGTCATCTTTGGTGAGCACACAGCACTGAATGACATTAATTTTAATCACCTCTTTGTTTTGCAGGATGATTTGATGATCTATGAGATTCCCATCCTATAAGCAATTTTCGCACTTCTTTGCATAACATTATTGAAACTTCTTTTGTGTGCAAATCATTTCCTTCTTTGTGACTAGAGTACAACAGTATCTCTCCCTAAGTTATTCATTTCGATTCATCTTGAGTCCAGCGGGTTTCACTTATTACGCGAACCTCCAAAATGTATCTTAAGCTACTTGAACGTGCTTTCGTATGTCTCACATTACACGAACGAAATCATTTTATGATTCCAACGTGATATGTGAATAATCTGTTCATAAATCACGTATTTTATACTAACATCCTATGGATGCAGTTTGAAATTTATTTCGTTGTTTCAAAGCTAGAAGCATAAACACAATTTTCTCCTTGGGGTAGTTCTTTGTTTATCTGAAGGAAGGTGGATTTTGTTCCATTGATCATTTCGAAAATTTTCGAAATGTAATTACCGTTTCAGTGACTTCACCTTACAGCATAGTGACACTAATCTGTGAACATTAGGTCATGACCTAGTAATTCTCGACTACTTTTGATTAATAGCTGAACACAGCCGATGTACCGATCCCATGTCTTTATTGATGCTTAGTCTACTTAGATTATAAGCGATTCACAAATATTGTTGTAAATTGCTGCATCTGAGTACGAGTTATACCAGAAGTAGGAAATTACAAGAAATGTTCTGTTATTAATTATAATGGTCAGAGCTCTGTCGCTCAGACAAGCATTCACCTCACGGAATGAAGACTGTCGTGAAACAATATAAAATGCTGATACAAGCTTCATCGACAGGGACAGAAAAACATGAATGCATGGCGTTTTGATAGGGCAAAACAAAAAAAACTAGTTCCATCCAGCTGTTAATCATGCATAAGTGTGAATAGAACAGATATCACAGGCACTTTGAAATAAAAGAATTTCTGTCAGTACAAATGGTCCGTAAACATGGTGATATAATTCCAGGTAAATTAGAGAGAATACATAAGATATATGTATTGAATTCAGCAGTCTGACGTAACGCTTTGTGAATTTTATGCATAAGATTCACATTTTATAATAGTCACTTCAACAATTTTGTGTTTTTTGACCAGCCTTCGAGGTTTTCGAATTTCTTTTCATCACGTTTATCAGATTAGCCAAATGTCAAAGAAATAATGAGACACCGTCAGTCAAGCTCACTTGTGAGTACTGTTAGATTTCTATATACTTCATTACTTCTGACCACTAAACAACTCATAAATGTGATCAACCATGGAAATGAATATTGATGCTTACTAGTCCATTACTGAAGGCAGAGTGATGAAGCAAATTTTTATTATACTATTAAATATTCTTCTCCAGTAGATCATTATCGTACATATCGAAATTAATCAAGGACCTTCTCGTAATAATCTCGAGACAAGAAAATGAGTCCATCATCAGTCGTCCAAAATGTTCGCTTATATCGACCGGAACATTTCGGGAAGTAGCAGCTTGATCAATATCACTAGACATTTTCCGGACAACTAAACTAAGCAGTTTCCGCAATCGCATGTTGTTACACTTACAGATATTACAGATATATTATTTTTCGAATCTAATCCAGTCTTCAACAAAGCAGGAATAATGGCAGCCTGCTAGTAATCACTGTTGACCAATCAGTATAGGCAATAATTAAAGTATTCAGGATAACGTATATGAGAGCAATATACGAATGGAGGAAAACTAAATTTATCAATCACCGTGTGCACGCTTCTTTATCCCTATATTTAAATAGAACTGTGTCCATCGCTATTAAACATCATGAAATTAACGGAGTGCTTGGACGCACCTGTTGTTATTTTCATATTATTCATTAGTCAGTATACTCCGCCTAATGATCTACTTTACATGAGAACCCTCTCCCTACGTAAGGGGGCAATACTGGTCTAATTTTCCATATTGCTGCAACTACTATGACACTTAAAATGAATACTGTTAGCAAGGAATGTTTTAATTGCACATTATTATAAGTAATAATAACAATGAGGACAAATTAGCAATATGGCGTGATATTAAATTGTATTAAAGGTTGGCTGAAGAAATTTTAAGTACTGAGTATATGGTCGAGTAAATGTCCATAAAATGAGGAAGTGTTAATCTAACGTTCATGAATTGACCAAGCAAATTTCTTACTTTGTTATCTAGGGCTTTCCAATAACAACTGATGACTTTTTGTTCAACAGACAGTTCACGAGTTTCGCCAAACCTGTCGGAGACCTAATATCCAGATAGAATAGACTCTCACTTTTATCTGTGTCCATACAGATAAAAAATGGGACGGCCGCTTGTAAAGCTATCAGTTATCACTAACTTAAACGACGAATACCTGCAAACTAGAAGTTATCAAAGAGCATCTTGATTTCTTGATGTTGGTACGAGGAGTAGAATTCATAGACTATTTCTGAATGTTGTTTATCTAAAGCAACCTGATCATGACTACAAAAGCAGATTCTAGTAAAGAGCCCATATTTAGAAGAGAATCTTCTCACTTCGCTTACTTGTCATAGCAAATGGAAGACTTAATTTGAGTACCACAGCTTGGAAATATAAGTCTACACACGTACTTGAGGACATCTGATCTTTCATTATATCCAAATCAGTTACGGTGACTACATAATCGTTCTGCCCTATAACACATTTGACCACCTGATCTAGAGATAGTGACCAGATCAGCACTTTAGTGGCCTCATATATGACTCCACATAGATCGTATGTATGATTGTTATCGAAGTAGGTATCGTTCCGATAAGTTGAGTATAAGTTGAGCATTGGGTAAATTGTTATAAATAAATGATATATTTGTAATATCCCAATGAGTAGAAAAATTAGATTTTCTGACATTTCGTGACTTAGTGTAAGTCATTTCTTCAGAGCACAAATAACCAAATTAAAATTAATCCAAGTTTAAATAGTACAACGTTGTACTTACACTATGTCACGAAATGTCAGAAAATCTAAATTTTCTACTCATTGGGATATTACAAATATATTATTTATTTATGATTGTTATCGAAGTATATATGTCGCCAGTCCTCGCATATAATTATAGACTGAACTCGTGTTAGTGAATAACGGGATTGAATAAGCCAAATACGTGAATGAGGTTTCGATGCGTATATTCCATCCAATTCTCGATCTGAACAGACAATCAGGGAAACGGAGCGAAAGAATAGAAGAAAAGTGAATGAAGCGAAACGACGAGCAGTGGAGAAGGCATGTAAGCCAAGTCGATTTAATCAAGCGTTAATCAATATTTATAGTCACACAGAAATAAGCCACAGACATGTGATTAGTAGGATAAGATATACACACATATATGTTAACATAAAAACAGTTAGTGTTGTCACGTGAATGATTACCAAGGTCAAAATGTGGTTCAAGAAGAACGGATAAAGTGGCCTGTACGGATGCTAGAATAAGTTATGTGGGCTTGGCATAGTGATTGACGCTACAGTACTGGCTCGAGATTTTCTTTATCCTTTGAAGCCAGTTACCTCATCTATGAACCACAACTCATCCAGAAACATTCACAACAACGACTGTTTCATCCGCGATGACTTCATCACATACTCATCGTGTTGTAGAATAACAGTGTTGACTGAGAGTTTATAAACTTAGACCTAAAACGTCATTTCGGATTTACATTCCTCACAGTTTCTTAATTACCCCTAGACCTCGTAGTTTATATTTTCGACCGTACGTACACTTGAAAACAACAGATGTATAATTGAATTCAGATTCACTTAACGAGCAACTCCCTATATGTACATACTAAGTATGAGTAGTCTAAAACACATAAGATCATTTTTCTACTACGTACTGGACATCATTTGACGCTGTCCTGAATTTCGCTTAGCTCACAAACCGTGTGTTTAGCATGATATGCCCAAATGCATCAATCAGGTCGACCGACGGACTTCTCGAACTTGAAGCACAACAAATAGGAGTGCATTAATAGAAAGCGAAACAAAAAATCGATTATTGTGAAGAAACTCCATTAACCGCATTGCATAAGGTACTAGTGACATCAATGAAAGATGACGACTTCAAACTGACTGAACGTCAGTCATCTACTTTGAACGGAACAATGTGTTACACAGATTATCAATCCGTAGAATCGCGTGTGGTTATTTAGTGGGATAATTTGCTTAACCGGCTATAATAAACTGTCCAACAATATTATTCAACCGATATTTTGCAGAAAATGTTGAATAGTAGCAACTAACACTAAATATTGGATAAGAATTTAGTATATGATGTTGTTAACGACATCAACAAACTACGTTAAGAAATAAACACAGAAGAACTATGCCAACATACACGCATGCAAGCAACCTTAAGCCCTCCAAATACAGGATGCCTGATATCATTTACAGCGTACTAGATCGTAACAAAAGCGCGGTCAAGTTTAAACGTTTTTGCTATGGCGCTTAGTGCAGCCAGATTCTTGCGTCTTCCGATTTACTTAAGATATAGATTGTACAGTACGGAAAGTGCATCAACAGTAACCCACACTGGCCAGGTTTAATGTTTATCCGTACTTATCTATTAATGATTAGACGTTCTCGCTAAATGACCCATCAGTTGCAAGATTTACTATCGGTGATAAGTTGGTAAGATTCTTCTCTTTTTCACTGCCTAGTTTCGTTTTCAAGTTTCTGCAATGAAACCACTCCGTTTTCAGCTGCTTTTACGACTGAATCCTTATGTTTACTGCCAGAAATTTAATATAACGGGTTGTTTATATATATATATATATATCAGTAAATGTCGAGAAATCCAGGTCTTTTTAAGTAATTTCAAATCATGGTTATCAGCTTGACCGTAGTTGCTTGAGGAAATAGGTCCATATCGTCGTGGTTCGGCTCTCTGAAGCTGTTCTTAAATTAAATTGCTCGGTAAAATCTCAAGTCTGAAGAAAATACTAAGAGATCAGTGTATTGAGCTAAATCAAATGCAAATGACGAAATTTAATAAAATATGACAACTAGATGACACGAAAAGTTGGTTTTTTTGAGATACGATTGGTATGACTCTCATCATAATGCTCGAAATCTTCAGCACTTGCCTATTCCTTACTTAGTGGTGTTGTATGGTTGACTGCAATTATGATGTAGTGTTCAAAAGTGATGAATCTACTACGCAGTTGCAGCAAGTGATAATAGTCCCACTTTAGTTTTGAGTGGTAGCATTCATATATCTTACTATAGGGTTTTCTTAAAGGCTAAACTCATCGAATAAGCGTCCGTAGATAGTTTAAAGACATTTTTCTGGCAACCATTCATGGATTGGCAAGTTCTTTTATTTTCTAAGTTGATAGTAAGTTTATGGTAATGTATTATTAAGGCTAAATTTAAAGCTTTCGAGGTGGCTGCTTAAACGAGTTTACAAAAGATTTATCTATAAAGTTCACTTCAGTCGAATAAATAAATGATCACCCTACTTTTTGCTTTGACGAACGTTATTATTTGTCCTAATTTTCAATTTGACATATATTCCTATGTATTACAATTTGTCTTTTGTCTCATGTAAATAGGTCAATAAGCAATTCGCAGAAAAGCTGATAGCAGAGGTTCCCCCGATCGCTTGCAAAGAAAATATAATCAGTTGCGACGGTGGTGGTGGTGCACTTGGGCATCCTAAAGTATACATCAACTTGGTAAGTCAATATCAACTTCTGTCTGGTTGCATAATAAGCGTTTGCATGGATATCTCGTCTAATTAGCCTGGTTTTACCATTTAGTCAGTGATCACTTGGCTATACTACTTAATTAAACCTGTTACCCTCGTGGAGGAGCATAGACCACTCACCTGCATTCTCCATCGAACTCTGTCCTGGGCAATCCTTTCCAGCCGCTATCCATTCTTTTGATATCCGCTTCCGATCACAGACAATGTGTTCCTTGGCCTTTATCTTTTCCGTTAGCCTTCAGGATTCCAAGTTGGTGCTTGCGTCGCGATTCAGTTTGATGTTTTCCGCAATGTATGCCCTATCCACTTCCAGAGTTTTTTCCTAATTTCCTCTTCAGTTCGAAGCTGGTTTGTCTTTCCCCACGGTAGGCTGTTGCTGATTGTATCCGACCAACGGATCTGGAATATTTCGCACAGCCAGTTGCTTGTGAATACTTGTACCGTTTTGATGATGGTTGTGGTAGCTCTCGAAGTTACAGCTCTGTACAGTAGAGCTGTCTTGACATTCGTATTGAATATTCTGACTTTGATATTATTTAACAGTTGTTTTAAGTTCCATATATTCTTCAAGTGTAGGAATGCGGCCATCGCTTTGTTAATTCTTGCCTTTACGTCTGCATCGGATCCTCCTTGTTCATCGATAATGCTGTCCAGGTACGTGAAGGTTTCCAACTCTTCCGAAGTGTCTCCATCAAGTGTAATTGGGTTGGTGTTCTCCGTGTTTTGTTTCATGATTTTGCCTTCCCCTTGTGTATGTTGAGGTCCATTGATGCGGCGGCTTCTGCTACACTGTTTGTCTTGACCTGCATTTGTTCGTATGTATCGGATAGAAGGGCCTGGTCATCTGCGAAGTCCAAATCGTCTAGCTCATTCCGAGCTGTCCATTGTATTCTGTGCTTCCTGTCAGATGTGGAGGTCTTCATAATGCAGTCAACAACCAGAAGAAAGAGCAAGGAGGAGATTGAGTCGCCTTGTCTGACTCCGGTTCTCACTTGGAATGCGTCTGTCAGCTAACCTTCATATACAACCTCGCAGTGTAGTCCGTCGTGTGAATCTCAGATGAGGTTTCACGATCTTAACAGATATGCCATAGTGTCGAAGAAGTTTCTATATATGTCAAACGTCTTCTGATAGTCAAGGAATTTGATGTATAGTGACTAATATCATTAAATTGATTGCTCGACAATTATCCATAGTGTAGCGACTTGGTCTGTGCACGACCGATCCTTACGGAATCTGGTCTCTTGATTTCGAATCTGTGTGTCTGTTTAGTCTTTCACCAGGTTCAGCAATCCTCTGTTGTAAACATTTCCTAGTACCGATAGTATACCTCATGGCGATGCTTGCTGCAGTCCAGGACCTCCTGTTACGTTGAATTTAGTGCTTCTTTGACCCATTTCCAATTGTCCTTCATAGTAATTTTTTCTTCCCTCATTAGATCGTGCAAGGCTTGGAACCTGTTGTTGAAACCTATTTTGAATTCCTTGAGTTTTTCAGAGGTGGTGGTCCAATTTTAGCGATTAGGTTGACTAATATTTTAGCTAAGATCTGGGAATTAGACGTTATCCTATGTGACTGGTCGCAATTACTGATTGTCCCAATATATAAGAAAGGGTCAAAATCATCCTGTGACAGCCACAGAGGGATTAGTTTAAGTAATATAGTATCTAAAATACTAGCCTCGATAATTATCAGGCGTCTAACTAAGACTCGTGAACCGCAAACACAAGAGAACCAAGCTGGCTTCAGACCTGGTCGTGGCTGCATCGACCACATATTCACCATTCGTCAGGTTCTAAAACACAGGCATACTTATCGGCGTCCGACAATGGTGGTCTTTCTTGACTTAAGAGCAGCATTTAACTCTGTAGACCGCGAGATTCTGTGGCAGTGTCTATCATTGAAAGGCGTACCCCAGAGGTACATAAACCTTGTGAAGGCTCTTTACTCGAACACTACCAGTCGAGTCAAAGCTTATATCGAACTGTAATCTGATTCCTCAACCTCAAGTGTTGTCCGTCAAGGATGTCCACTTTCCCAATTTTTGTTTAACTTCATCATCGAGCTACTGATGAAAATAACGTTCTAGTCGTCTGAATTTTCAGGCATTGATCTCCTACAAGAAGGTCCACTTATCGACTTAGAATACGCAGATGACATAGTCCTGTTCGGTGAAGACGCTGACAAAACGCAGAGTCTTCTGGTAGCACTAAGCAACAATACCGGAATGTTTGGGATGTGTTTCCCCCCCTCTAAATGTCTATAAAGCCATTGACTAGTGGATTAGGCTGTGCTGGTATGTACAGGATATCAGTTTTGGGCTCTCGCGATTATCGTAATTAATGGTTGGGAACGTGCTACACCGCTCAAAATTGATCCCAATGGCACGGTCGTATTCAACTCTTGCCTTCCGTTAGATTTTGATTTATGAAACTAAGTAATACTATAGTGAATAGAACACCAGTGGAGACAATCGAATGTATTCGACACAAAATTGCAGGACTTGGTAGTAAAATCTAACAATCATACAGTAAATGCTTAATTCCACATCCAGAGATAGCATAACTTTGCCACTTACATTCACTTCTTTTATGTGCTCGATAAATTCAAAAGTATCACGCACAAAATGTTTACAAATGAGTTTTCCAACGGGTTCTAAGAGATTCGCCAACCACTTTGCTATAGGGTGGTAAGGGGATCCAGACATATCGAGAATCGGTCCAAGAGGTAGGCCAGGTTTGTGTATTTTTGGCAAACCGTATAATCGCGATATTATCGATGCTGTTGGTCTTATGTGCTCAAAGACCTGTTCGTTGATTAACTGCTCTTTTTTCATTTTCTTAAGGACATCAATTAGTTGCTTTTCTATAATTTCAGTCTTGTTTTTCTCATTGTTGGGTTTTGAGAATTTGGTGTCATCTGATAACAACGTTGTCATTTTTTCAACATAATCCTTGCAATCTAGCAGCACTAAACCAGCACCTTTATCTGGACGTGTTATGATCAAGTCTTTATTATTGCTAAGTAGTTTTATCTGATTTCTATGTTCTTTTGTTAGTAGACTATTGCCTGTTACTTTTGTGCTAATATATTGGTTGCAGCTGTCAAGAAGAGTAGATTTGAAACGTTGGAATTCTTGATCAGAGATTGGATTAAGACCATTTGTTTGTTTGATTAAGTTTTCAAATTGAACATGTGTGTTGATTTTGTTAACTTTTTCATTTATGTCGCAGAATTTTATCCCCAAAGATAAGGCTTCTAATTGTCAACGATATTGAAAAATGATTAAACACATATCTCTCAGGGTTGTTAGGAAAGTTGTGCTGTGTTTCTGTAGTTTATAAACTTTTAGTGAGAAGATTGTGCTCGTTAGGTGATAATTCATATAATACAGGAGATCTTTGTGAGATGTTAAGTCCCAATAACGGAATGCGAGGACGAATAGAGTCAATAACATTTTGTGCATGGCGTTTAAGAGATTTCGAGTTTGGATAAATATGGTTTCTTCGAAGAATTTTCCAGTAGTATTTAGGATATTTGTGCATTTTAACGCAATCGTTAAGAAAGGTAATCTTCGCATTAACTTTCGCAAGTTTGACAGAAAAACGCAGAAACTGATTAAGTTCCTTTACTGTCGACTGGTCCTTGGAACTTTTTAATAAACGGAATATACCCATTATGACATTAAATAAGAAAGAATAGTTCAGTGAAGAGTTCTCTTTTCAGCGAATTCATTTTCAAAGCTGTACAATCGCGAATACATATACTTATTTTTACAGTGTGATAATAATACTGATAATAAACTTATGTTATACATGGTGACAGTGAGATTAAATAAACAAAGGTATTAGAAAAAATTTTTAAAACAAGGAAAGTTTGATAGTTAATGGCTTAGATATTCATCGGGTAAGGGTAGCTCAGCATGACAAAATAACATAAAATGTTGAAACAGATGAAATGAAATCGGAATGATTGTTGAAATAAAAACAAACCGTTTGGGGGTACAAGATTTGAATGGAAGATGGAAGGTGAAGCAGGTGGCTGTAAAAGAACAAGAGTAATGAGAAAGAGAAAAATTTTTAATACATTAAGACCATGGTAAAATACCACTGGAAAATTCTTCGAAGAAACCATATTTATCCAAACTCGAAATCTCTTAAACGCCATGCACAAAATGTTATTGACTCTATTCGTCCTCGCATTCCGTTATTGGGACTTAACATCTCACAAAGATCTCCTGTATTATATGAATTATCACCTAACGAGCACAATCTTCTCACTAAAAGTTTATAAACTACAGAAACACAGCACAACTTTCCTAACAACCCTGAGAGATATGTGTTTAATCATTTTTCAATATCGTTGACAATTAGAAGCCTTATCTTTGGGGATAAAATTCTGCGACATAAATGAAAAAGTTAACAAAATCAACACACATGTTCAATTTGAAAACTTAATCAAACAAACAAATGGTCTTAATCCAATCTCTGATCAAGAATTCCAACGTTTCAAATCTACTCTTCTTGACAGCTGCAACCAATATATTAGCACAAAAGTAACAGGCAATAGTCTACTAACAAAAGAACATAGAAATCAGATAAAACTACTTAGCAATAATAAAGACTTGATCATAACACGTCCAGATAAAGGTGCTGGTTTAGTGCTGCTAGATTGCAAGGATTATGTTGAAAAAATGACAACGTTGTTATCAGATGACACCAAATTCTCAAAACCCAACAATGAGAAAAACAAGACTGAAATTATAGAAAAGCAACTAATTGATGTCCTTAAGAAAATGAAAAAAGAGCAGTTAATCAACGAACAGGTCTTTGAGCACATAAGACCAACAGCATCGATAATATCGCGATTATACGGTTTGCCAAAAATACACAAACCTGGCCTACCTCTTGGACCGATTCTCGATATGTCTGGATCCCCTTACCACCCTATAGCAAAGTGGTTGGCGAATCTCTTAGAACCCGTTGGAAAACTCATTTGTAAACATTTTGTGCGTGATACTTTTGAATTTATCGAGCACATAAAATGCTTAATTAGCAAAATTTCCACCAATTGTCTCAAAGTTCATTGCTCCTGCATTTTCGTACAAATTGCATCGTTCCCATTCTTTACTGTTCGACCTTCTTGTCTTTATAATGCAAGACATTCTGTTCCCAACGTCATATACTACTTATGTCGACATAAGTAGTACATACCAGAATACTTCTTACTTCACATATTCATTATTTCCGAATCATCTTTCTATATTGTCCTGTCTGCCATCGATATTGTTAATAATTCTATTACTCTGGCATTTATCTTTGTAATTTTGTACTGCTGCACTAGTGCGATGTGATCACCGACGAACATATGTCCCAGGTTATGTTCTGCTTATGACTCATTGACGATCTACGTTACATAGATCACCTTACGAAGGTAAATACTACTCGTTGTTATGTTGGAAACAGAATAACGTTCACGTTTTTATCATCATAACGTATGATTCATTTCAATTATAGGAATGCTTACTGTGTTTCTCTAACTATTTTAGGACCAACCAGGTAATCATACTTGCGGGTACTGTGGTTTGCGATTTTACCTAGACAAAAAAAGCCACTGAAACCTACGGCAACCACGATTTAGAACAGAAAAATATTCTTCTTTGTGTGTTATGACATCATGTTTTGATGGATATCTTTGTGCTTTTAGAAGTTTGTGAAGTTACTGAAAATAGCTTACAATCAAATACAGTATATTCTTCCTTACTATGGATTCTGGCCAAGCAGTCTGAAGTACTGTTTAGTTTTACGAGATGGTGTGTCTGAAAGACGTCGCCAACCGCTGTAAAGGTAAAGGACGTAACATATGTAATCTGTATGATGCCTTTAACTCATGCATTAATCATGGTATTGTAGGTGAACGTTACTAACTCAATACTTTGAAATATAACCGTCGTATGTGTAATTTAGCTCGTTGCATGCTTATAAGTCATGAAAAATAGCTGAGATCTTGGCTATAAAAGCGCAGACCTCATTCTTTATTGTTCTGGATGAACGTTAAGAACAGCGTATCGAAACAATCGGTTATGTATGGTCGAAAGACTCAGTAATGCCACAAAAGCTCCATACAGGTGTTTTGCCACTCACTTCTATTAAGTAGGATTCTTCGGTAAGAGATATTGTCGAATAGAGTTCCAGAGTTAATACCCGTACTTGACTATTCAATCTAGAGACAACATTAAGGTTTGCATACTAGCATATAAACCTCCTTTGTGAAGGTTAATGGCAAATATAACTAAGATTCTTTTCCCATGCAGATGCAAAGCTGTATGAACAACTGTCACGTATATCCTAGTAGATTAACCCTTTAAGGCTTTGACAGAAATTTGAATAACCAGACTAGTTGAAAACAACACTACAATTTTATCTAAGCAATTATAGAAAGTCCGTGACCATTAAATAACGAACAGATTAGCGTAACCACAACTTTCGTATACTTTATTTCTCCATGAAACTAAATCGAACATGATTATTTAACAATTAGTTATCACTTGTACGGAGGAGTCCTGTTAAGATGGCTTTGATCGTACATTGATTATGATAAAACCTTGATATTTGCAAGCTCTTTAAAAGGATTATTCTTATAGGAAAGCTTACAGATTCATGGGTTGCGTAATGTTTAAATCTCGATCTACTGTGAGAGCAGACATGAGCGTACACAAATTACTAGATCAAAAACAGTAATTTTCTTGCACTTTGGTTCAGTAATTGAATATAGAAATCATAAAATAGAGAGGTAAACGCCACGGAAGCTAGTAAAGGCATTGTTAAGAGCAGACTAGTGAACAAAACTACTATCTCAATTAAAAATACTCTTGATGGTTGGTATCGAATTTCCGAGTTTCAGAAACATCGGGATAGTAGCTTTCTTATCTATATTGTTGACACTAACTAAAATTTTGTATTGGCAAACATTGAAATAAACAATGAGCTATTGTGATGGAAAATATGTGTCATAGGACTCCTAGCACTACAGAAATTCAAATTTCTCTTATGAAAATAATCCAGCCTTAGAAGCCTAAAACGGAACCAAAATTAATGGCTGAATTCCTACTTATTGGAAAGGTAAGTGTGTATTTTACGTCTAAAATCAGAAACCTAGCTTGGAGCACTATAGGTTTCAAAGCGTAAACAAGACCCATCGTTCTACCGGTATGCATAGAAAATATCTTAGAATAATTAACGTCTTAAACTGACTGGTTTGTGTGTGTTTGGTCCATTGCTTACAAGTGCTACCAACCAATGTTTTCTTGAATATCAGCTAAGTTAGAAATTGTTAGTGATATCTCACCAATCTAACTTTTGAAAAGCCCCATACACCATTTTTAATCAAAATGGGATTTACAAGGTTAATTATCAGTTCGTTCAATTAACTCGTTTCTATGTTAATTAGTTTAAATTAAATCTTAACGAGATTAAAACTGATGTAGTTAGTAGGTATCATTACCAAGGTTTGACTTGATAATTTCGAGTAAATTAAGTATTGGGTAGATTGTTGTAAATGAATATATTTATGATGTAGTTAGTGTTTGTTAGGCGTTTGCACTAACTCAAGGTAAGTTCTATATTTCACATGAAATTTTAAAGGAATAATTTTTCATGATACACCTAACCTTAGACACGATTCGGCGACGAATTCGGAAAGAAATGGCCATAATCATAAATTTAATCTAGAACAACGACAAATCTATTTGTTGCTATTTTTCAGAGAGATATGAAAGCATGATTGGTACTCTTAAGGAAATTAACTTATAAGCAAACAGAAATCACTTCCTAATACTAATTTATACAGACTTTATTTCAATGAATATAATTTTATCTACTTATTTTATGTATAGTTGTCACAGAGTACGCTAAGAGTTCCGCATTGTGTCAAACATTCAATACTAGAAAGCCACTATCATCCTTATTCTGGAAATAATTTATGAATAAAAAGTATAAACTCTTTGGGTGATGTGATTTCTACAATAGAAAAAAAAAGTTTACAACGATAAACCGTAAACATAATTATCTCTACATCCAGTGATAATATATACATCATTTGAGTTTTCGGAATAAAGAACTGGAGATGAGAAACATTGGTTGGGTAGGCGGTAAGTCGACCATACAGTAGGGGCTTTTCGTCGGACAGATAGGCTCGAAGGCACCGAACACCCATAAACCAAACCATCTGCTCTTGTTCCAATCAACAAACTGTGTCTATCGCTTTGCAATAAAGAAGGTGTATTTAAGGAACATAGGTTTTTGGAGTTTAAATCAAATGTCCAGTCGAGCATCCATGTTAAATTGCCATTTACAACGTTCAAAGCGAATAAGAAGCCCTTATTAGTACTCAAAATAACATTGTGAGACTGTGCATCAAGAACGGGATCTGAAAATATTGCATGACCACTTAGCTCTTGAGAACATTCATAATTCCAATCAATATTTCCATCCAATAGAGAAAATGATTGAATTGTCCCACTAACTCCAGCTATAATAACATTAACCTTGTAGCTAGAGTCCATATATAGAAGAGGTTTGCTAAAAACAGGCGTTTTTCCATCCCTCATCCAAACTAAATGTGATGGATTTCTAGGATCTAAACAACCAATAGTTCCTCCAAGACTTGCAATAATAAGATATGGTGTGCTCGTTTGAGACATATCTGACACAATAACGGGAGAAACAATGGGTGTCCCGTCAAAAGAATTAGTCCAAATAGGTTTTATACTGTTCAGAGAACGTAAGTCTATGGCGTGGACTAGTTTTCCATGGGAACCACATGCTAGAAATCTGTAATCATATACATACGATCCAGGAGACTTAACGGCGCCCCCAGTGTAATATGAGCACAGAGCAGTTCCACACTCAATATCCAAACAATAAATACTCCCATCTAAGGACCCAACAACAAGTACAGCACTTGAACCTGCGAATCCAAGTGTGGAAGAGGCCTCGATACGACCTGGTAGTGACACTGTTGCGTTCGGCCATACTGTGCGGCCATTCGATACATACAAAGCAGAAACCGAACCGGAGTGACTTCCGGTGAAAGCACACCCATTGGAAAACCCATGAACACCGGAAAGGACTAAAGGTGAGGCGTCTACACACTTATGCAGATTATGTTGCCACAAAAATTTAAATTGAATTTGGGGTAATAGGTCAGGCAGCTTCAATACAGAACCATGTGTGTAAATATCAAATGGATGTTGGTAATTATGTTTGACAGTCATTTGGAATTCATTTTCAAATTTACTTTGACAAACTTTTTTGGTTGAAATGGATTTTGAAAAACGTGTTTTGGACTTCATAGAAATAGAGCAACATCTTGAAATAAACTCATAAACACTGGAAAATGAATGCGCAAATATTAGTGATACAAGATTCTCCTTCTTATTGATCAAGACTGGAAATTCTTGGATTATTGTTTCAACTAGGTGCAATGCCATTAAAGAGGAACCACCGGCCTCCATAAATGTTGCATCCCAATCAGTTACAGTCGTTCTGCCTAACCCAAGGGACTCATTCCATATGGCGATAACTTTGTGCTTGATGGACATTGAAGGTTTAAAAACGTTATGTAGTCTATACATTAACTTTCCGTGTAGTGAAATCGGTAGAGAGTGATTAGAAAATACAAAATGTGTAGGAATCCAGGGCTGATGGTTCGGAGCGAAAATGAACTTTAGTTTTTTAAGGATATGAGATTTAGTGTTTTTTGTGTAGCTGTAAGTTGGAAATACTGAAGGCCTAGAAAATTTATGGGAATAAAGTTCAATTTCAATGAATGAAATGATGGAGTTCCGATTAGTCGATCCTTCAAAAACCTGACATCTACAGTTTCTGATCTTGAGGCTTGGTGGCTTGCACGTTTTTATGACATGTTCTAAACGTTCTAGACAAATTCGGTATCCAAACCGTTTGATTGTACGGTCTTTTCTACCTAGAAACCATAAACACCTCCCACATTGACCGTAATGCACTAAATCAGAAGTAGGCCATGTAATCTGAGAAGGTAGTTGTGAAAGAGCGTAGGAAAATTCCTGAGTAGTAATCGTTGACTCTTTGGGATGTAATATGTAAAACCCACCATATTGACGGGATAGTCCCAATTCCCAAACATTTTCCATATTGGATGGTATTAGTGAGAAACTGGTTCCTAGCATCGGAAACCCAAGAGGTGAAGATCCAAGCAAAGGAGGCGAACATTCGCAGTGAATATCATTGTTGATCAAATCTCTGTCAAATGAACTGACTTTAAACAAAGAGGCCCACGAGGAGACTTCTGTAGTACCATAGATATTATATAGGATAGATTTGTGGTTTTTAAAACTCCTGAGATCATTCAAGGGGAATGGTTCTCCACCAAGTAAAACATGGAAACTTGGTTGTGACAAAAACTTATCAAGGAGACGACGATCGAGACCAGAGATTTGACTTGGGGTGCATTGCAGCCAACCGACTTTTGCGTTCATGCACAACGTGTATAAGGTTTTGGGCACATTGAGAATTGATGAGGGACATATAACTAAAGTACGACGGGTCAATAGTGCGAAGTAAATCTGTACAATACTCGGATCAAACGTCAAGGGTGAAGCTAGAAGAACACAATTAGCCTCAGAACCATGATGCTTCTCACTGGAGAACCGATTACCTAAGTCAATAACATTAGCTGTTAAGCAACTATCCGCCACACAAACTAGTTTCCGTTCTTTGCTGAAACTTCCAGACGTACTTAGTATGTATATAAGGTGTTTATTAGGTTCTATGAACGGACTTGGAAAAGGACTAAGGTGTGGGAAGAGCAGACTGGAACGTAAATATAAAGACCAGTCATTTCTTGAAAATAAACTATCAACTGTACTTGTGGGACTGTTTTTATACTTTGAGAAATCCTCAACAGGAATAAGTTCAGAAGAATTGCAAAGCAAAACAATGGCGTCAATGTGATTTTTAAGCGTCACCAAACCATAGGATGCCGATGCGCTAAGTACAGGGAAGAAAGGAAGTCCTGATTTGACAATCCCATGTATTACAACATTTGTCAGTATGTGTGGAGCCCAAACTACTGCAACAACTGATAATTTGTCTTCGCCAGGCTTGAAACTCAGGTGGTACTTGAGTAACTCTACCAATTCGTTCGAATAACTCTGGAACTTTTCGTATGTGAGGATTTCAACGCCACTGTCTCTGGAAGTTCCATTCCAAAACTCCACACAGTTTTCATTAAGCTTCCAGTTTGGCGAAACGCAGTCCTTCAAATAACATGGCCAACATAAACTTAATCAATGAAAATAAAAACATTAGCTTACTTCATACGATTAGAAAGCCACCTTGAGGACTCTGAGAAACCTTCTCAAGCAAAACAGAGAACCAATACAATTTCGATCGATCCCAAATCCACACTGTTGACGATGCTGACTCCTGAACTGTTCCGTCACGCATTGACAAGAAGTAACAATAAAAATCGACGAATTTTAATATCTGAACTTTCACAGCAATAATCCAGTCGTCAACAGTAATAAAATTGTATCAAAAATATAAGATTGTTTCTGTGGCAAGCTATTCAGAGACTTATCTGTTGTCAATTCTATATGGAGTGAATAGCCAAATATTTAGGCTGGTCAATTTGAGGACGAACTTTAATATTCACAATTTTGGTATTGGTGGACAATAATACAATTTAGGTCTAGTTATGTACCATACCACACGTCAGTCAATCAAGTCACTTGAACGTACATTCAAGAACAGTTGTATTCGAGTTTTTATTCTATCCGTTAATAGTCGATCACCACGTCAAAGATAGAGAACGCAACATAATTCTATGTATCACAAAACGCTAGGTATTCATAACGCTTGATTAATCTCAAGAAGTGGAAAATGTGTTTACAATCCAACTTGCCGCATTGCAATCCCTATGATTTTAGTTTTTAAGACAAGTAAACATTCCAGACGATTTCTATGGGTATTTATGATATTGAGGATCTTCACTAATATGGAGAATATAGATCCAGTATTTTCAGATATTCCGCAAAAGATTTTAAATTAAAACCACTAGCTAACATTGTAGCTCGTTTTTGGATATGCTAAAAGATATTTCTATATATTTAGAGTGAAGCACTGTTTCTATACTGAATGACGTTGATTGATAGTATTAAAAATTAGGTAAAAAGTCATATTATCAAACCACCTAGAAATGCTCTTTGAATTCACAAGTTTTAGGTTGATTTTGAAGACACTTTCGATAAAGTTAAGAATTGATTTTAAACCGCAAGGAACTAAAACCATAAAATATGATTCTATTGATGACGCGTCTATTATAGAATCAATGGTGTGGTTTGCAGCATGAAGAATATCACAATCCGTGCAA